CAACTGTTTCGTAAATACCGATCTTTGTGCTTAAGATGTTACAATCACACCAAAATATCTTTTCATGCTTTGAGAATTCTCGCTCAATACGATAATTCGTTTCTACATGCAGTGAGCGAACACTGCCTAAGTACACAAAAGTGTACACTTTTGTATTCACATAAGCTGTATGCGGAAACGACCTCCCGCCTGGATCCGTTATGAAAATGTCAGCAGTCAATATACCACATAACACCCTTGAGCGCTTAGCCTTGGAGCGGGTAGAATTGAGATCAACGTGTTTTAGTGGATTCAGCAGTTTTCAATCTGCTTTTCTGAATCATCTTCAAGAAGCGAGAGCAAGATCTAGAAGGTCAGCCAATCTAACAGTGATCTCATCTCACAATCCTAACACTTGCTCCATATGTGATCTATTTTGTAAATCACTAGCGGGTATAAATGCTACTTAATATTATCGCACTAAATTTCATAACAGAATCAACTAAGCTGTCAGATCCTCATACGTCAAAACCGACAGGAGAGTCCATTATATATATATATATATATATATATATATATATATATATATATATATATATATTTTTTTTTTTTTTTTTGGCAGCAACCTTTCTTTCAAATATATTTTTATTGAATACGGCCGACCATGAAGAATGAATTAATTATTTTTCAAGTTTTATCAGCATCCTGACATTTTTCCGTTTTGTAGGAGTTAAGGAATTTAAAATTGTCAATAATGTTTATTTCGGCTACTTTTATAGCCATTTTCAAGGTGTGTTTTTGTTTAGGGTGTTGTTACTTTCCCTCATATTTTGATTGTTATGTTATAAACTATATTTGTGCGTGTGTATTTTGTTTGAAAAGGCTTTCATTTCAGAGCCTCAAGTATTGCGCGCGATACTAGAATTACAAATCAGCATCTTTCTATTTTTTATTATATATATATATATATATATATATATATATATATATATATATATATATATATATATATACTTTGTTGCATATAATTTAACAATTAAAATGTTTCATCCTTGAAAATGGTTAAATGTATAGCCGAAGGCGCTCAGGAAAAAAGAACATTCGGAAGGTTTTTATATAATTTATCCTCTGAAAAGTAAAAAAAATTACATGAGAAACTGTATAAAACCTAAATCACATTGTCTGTCGTATTGAATGAAATATATATATATATATATATATATATATATATATATATATATATATATATATATATATATATATATATATATATATATGTATGTGAGTGTTCAGACATCGTAGTCAACCGTTTGATTTGTTGAATAAAGTGTGTTTTATTTTTGTATTTATATGGAAATGAATTCGTCTATTTCACTGAATTCGGTTATCGATCTCCCTTTAAATATATGGTGGGAATCAAATAGAACAATTTAGAAATTATCATTTGGCTTTTACTGACTGGGCAGCGAGCCGCTACATCGTTTCTTGAATGGAAACAGATCTTATCTCTGATTAGACTGGCAAACTATGACGTTGAATGCTTGTTGGAACCGTTTCTGATTACTTTCATAGTTGTTGGTGTCAGTTTTGATTTGTCTTTCAGCTATGACGTCATATCCATATTGGAAACATTTCTGATTGCAACTTCATGAACATTCGGTTCTGAATTTTATATAATTTTAGAATTGGTAAAGCTAGTGTCTCCTCGTTATTTTTTAAAAATTGATTCTCATACAAGGAGAATAAAAACATAGTCAGTTTAACGGCTTTAGAAAAACTCGAACCACTGACGCTGTTCGTCTGAAGATGTTTGGGGTTTATTAAGAGTATTTAGAGCATTGGACTTTATATAAATATTGAACTATATAAAATGAACTGTACAGTTATAATCAGGTCAGTACGCACGCGCAAACTTCAATGGCGATTCTGAATAAATATAATGAAGGTAATTTTATTATGTAGAATAATGATGGTGATTCATGAATAGCGTAACTCGTATAGCCAATATAAGTGCTTATTGCACAATCTATGTCTCTCGACGATATACGAAATATGGTCATATAGGAAAGAAATGACACAATAGATTATATCACATATAATGGTATCAAAGTAAGCCATTAAAAGAACCTGTCATAATGTAGTCTTAATTCTCTTGACTATTTAAATATGTGGAAATTTTAAAGCGGAGTAAGAGGACGCGCTACCAAAAAGATTCTCCACGTGACTGCATTTGCTAAGGATTTGCAGCCCACCAGTGAATGATGATTGCCTACATATCAGATTTATTTCTGTTTACTGTTAGTTAAGTCGAACCTCACGTAAATAAGGAAAACGTTACGAGATAGTTGATATCCTTAAAAACAAAATCATATTCAGTGTTGGAGTGCTATCTAATATCTACAATTTTAATTTGCAGTGAATGCAGGACGATCTACTCACAGATGAAATGAGAGAAAAATGTTGTTCTGCTAAAGAACGCTAAGCATATTATAGACAAAGCATACAAACTGCAAGGAAGCTTTAAATAAAATAGAAACTCCAAGGAAAAACTATGCATATTCGCGCGCACAAGCACAAGCCTAGACACGCATATGTGTGTATTAATGACAATAAAGAAAAGGGGGATGGTAAATGGACAGTTTGGTGAGAGCCACGAAGAAGAAGAAGTTGTGGTAAGCCATAATCTCCTAACTTCTGAAGGGACAAAGAGCATAGACCCAAAAAATTGTATATATAAACGTAAAAATGTTGTATATATATATATATATATATATATATATATATATATATATATATATATATATATATATACATATACATACATATATATATATGATCCTTACACCCCCTTCCTCAATATTAAGTATGATAGAAAGAAATATAAAATAAACCCTCTCTAAACTCGACCATGTCTCTCACACCATTCCTCGCTACCGTCTCTGTTAAATTACATAAACTTAATACTACCCGTCAAAAGTTTCATTTCCTTTTTCGTTTCACCTTTTGAAAGTGATGTCTGAAGATCCAGGGTACTTTAAAAGGTCTCTGGTGAAATAAACTATCACAGTGGAGCCTTAAAGTGGTTTGTATTTCGTTAAATTATTAGCTCTGTATTTACATTGAGCTCTCAGGATTTTACCCTCCATAGGATTACCCATACGGATTACTAAGTTTTTTCGTTACTTTTATATATATATATATATATATATATATATATATATATATATATATATATATATAATTGTGTATTGAATATTGTACAAAATTGAAAATTAATAAACTGAAAGAAACTAAGTAGGTAAGTTTAAATTTTAATCATATTGATAAGCTAAATACAACGTTATCATATGTATTTCAAAGTGCCTGCTTACATTTTTTTCTTTTGCAGAGTATAGTTGGGTTATGTGGGCACAGTCTTTGAGAAAATTATCTCCATGTCGCAATTCACTCGGGCAGTAATTTGGAAGCGGCATGCAGTACTGAAGCTCCAATACGAATATTTCAGAGTATTTGGGTGTCAATCCGAGGACAGAACAGAAGATTCGAAAATAGTTGAATGATATATCCAGTTAACGTAATGGTGTTTAGAGTGATCACTAGTGATGACGACGTGATGCCACCAGTCATCATCCCAAAGGGCCTCAGACACAGAAAGGAGGCATACATCGTGTATTGAGGAGGTAACGTTGCCCTAGGTAAAAAGGGTAGCTGCTGGTAGACTATATGTCTAGCAACATGACTCCACAGCATGTCACAGAAGCAGGAAAACCCAATCACGGCTGACAGAAAATTTCTGCAACCACATCACCCGGTATATCTAGCAACCTAACTCCACAGAATGCAACTCCATTAATTATGCAGGAGGCGGAGTTGAGCGAGATAGCAACGAAAAACCTTGTAACACCAAAGATGAAATGAAGGCAAAGATTATGGCATCATTTATCAAATTAATTAAGGAGATCGTTCAGAAGAGTCGCAGGAGATTTCGGAGTCGTCTGGAGGCCGTGATGTGGAAGCGAACGGTGATAAAAATAAAGATGTCAGTTAAAAAAAATGTCTGCTAAAATGAGATGTCCGTTCTATTTTCATTTTTGCGTCATTTAGATAACACTATTTTATCGCACCCTGTACATATATATATATATATATATATATATATATATATATATATATATATATATATATATATATATATATATATATATATATATATATATATATATACATTAATGAATATGTAAAATATTCATAAAATATCTAATCATTTTCTATCCCGATCTCTCTCAATCTCTCTCTCTCTCTCTCTGTATATATATATATATACTTGTAACTTTCGTAGTTAATTTTTATAAGAATTTCCATTGTAAAATCATTAACAGCACACGGTATAATCGATATTAATTTCTCATATATTTCCTTGGAAATTACCCTATTTATTTGTTACATATTAGTGATTAAAAACTTTACAATAACAGTCATAAGTATGAATGCAGGTTATTTATGTAATGATCTAAGAGAATAAAAATTAAAAGAATTTGACATTTACAAATTTTTCTATTTCATTGATAGGGGAGATTAAACAAATGAGAGCATTATCATCTGCTCTTTTCTTTTCTTTCTTTGTTTCTTTCTTTTTTCTTCTTTTACGCCGCATCTCTGTCAAGTCTCAAGTTTTACCTTTGTTCACGATCAAAAACGGAATAGTCGTTTATTTATGAAGCAGGGCGTAACGTAAGTTCTAGCTAAAGATCTAAGCAAAGAAGGAACAAGTTGAATTGTGTTGGGAGTGAAATATATGATGATTTCATAAGAAAATATATATTAAATAGTACAAAAGTGATTAAGGAAATAAAGCGTAAAACATTACAGTAAATATAAATTAAAAAATTAATAACAATAACTTTGTAAAATAATAAATAAATAAATAAAGACGAAACAATAAAAGGCAGATTAAAAATAAGCAGAAATAAGGAAAAAAAGGGGAAAAAATTCACAATAATCAATTATAAAAAGAAAAGTAACTAAAATATTTTAAAAACAATAATGAAACAATAATTGCTGAAGGAAGGAAGGAAGGAAGAAAGGAAGGGAGGGAGGAATGAAGGAAGGAAGGAAGGAAGGAGGGAAGGAGGGAGGAAGGGAGGAAGGAAGGGAGAAAGGAAGGAAGGAGGGATGGAAGTAGGAAGGGAGGGAGGGAGGAAAAATGAAACAGCAGCCTACTATCAGAAATAGGAACTAAGAAAACTGAAAAACAATATTGCATATACCACGATCATGAATCCCGTATGAGCACAACATCTACGGCAACAAGAGCAGCGGTGATGTTTCATATGCATGACAGCACGACTATCTCCTGGCTGGTTTAAATTTTGATTTTTCATTCTCCTAGACTGGTTACCAACAAAGGTCAGAGAGCTTGTTACCTGTTGGGAAGAGACATTCATAGATTTTCCCACGCGTATTAGCATGTGAGTGAGTTTAATGAGCATATATAAGCGATATTAAGAAAGTATGAAGATAAAACTCTAGTATTCTATAGTAATAAAAGGGAGGCTTTTTGGAAACAGAATTCATGATGGGAAGGAAAAGAAAAAAATCAAAGAAACTAACAAACACGGAAGCAAAATGCAAAGGAACAAAGAAAGGAACAAAAAAAAAAGAAAGAAATAAACAAAGAAACTTTGAAATAATCAAAGAGACGAAGAAACAAAAAAGAAGAAAAAAGTAAGGAAATTGAATAAACTGGTATAAAAACAAAAGTAGAAATACATTTCGCATGGTAAATCAATTAAGAGAGAATGAAAATATCGATATGATAAAATATACAAACAAAAACAAACGGTATGCTAAAAACGAAAATAAAAGAAAAAAGAATAATGCAAAGAACGTGATGAAAAGACAGAAAATAGAAAACATTAATAGTAAATAAATTAAAAAAAAAAACTTCAAACGAAATTAACAAAGAAGCAAAATACAAAAAATGAAGAGAAAAATGATGTATAGAAAGGAATATATAAGCATGAGAAATTAAAAACAAGTAAATATAGAGATAAGAAAGCAAAGCCTAACTAAATAAAAATGGCAGAAACTTAAAATATAACGAAACGTTACAAACTTGGAAATACAGTAGCGTCAAAGACGATACGATCAGAGGGAAGACTAAACGATCGAAGAAATCAAACCGACTTGTCACTCTTCTCAAAAGAAAATGTTAAGAAAACAAGACAGAACGGAAGGGATTAATACAATGTTTAGCATGAAGACAAACAGAGTGGAGGAAACACGAGAGGCAATATTACCATGTGAAAAGCGCGCTGTTGCCTCTTAGTGTTTATCAAGCATTATTCTGGGACTGGTGTTTGTGCAGCTTTCTCTAAAGAGATAAGCAATCAAAAGAGATCCGCAGGCTGAACAGACTCACTGGGGAGTGAATATTGCTTAGTGCCGCGAATATTTTTTGCCCTACTGAACTTGATGATAATAGGCAGTTGCCACTGCTTCTATACAGAGAAATGCGCGATTGGGAAATGCCTACATGGATCGATCCACTTCTTTTCCCTTGAATAAACATTGTAATCTTCACCGTGTGCATGGCTAAACTACATTTCTTTATTACCAAAAATATATTCTTAACTCTTTTCGTTTGGTTGGTGTAGAAGACGTACTAACATCTTTTCTATATGGATATCGGAAAACCTTTATTTGGCTACCAATACGCCATATTGAACAGAGTATCCTCTGATATTTACAGCTATAACGAAAAATTAAAGATATTTTTGTAACCAATATTAAAATAAACTGACGTGTAAGTTTTTTTTTTTTCAAATAAAATATTCACAAGTCTGATTATAAATATTAATGTCCAAGATCAAAATGTGATGCTTTTCAGGTTTATCTCGAAAACTGATTATCCTGCAATATATTTAGAATTGTGACTTGTTCGCGCAAGCCCACGGCTTCTATATCACCTCTATATCATTCGATCAAATGAAAGGAAAGCTCGATGCTTGACACATTTAGCAACACAAATGAGTGAGCTGATATATTTTCCATTGTTCTTTTTTTCGCATGAAAATATCCTCAGATCTATAAATATCTATTAAAACGATCGAAAATGAACGTTTCGGAAGCTTACGACACATATTGCAATTTTTACAATGGTTTTCACCCTCTGCAAGGCAAAAGAACCACTTGAGGTAGATTATAACAGAGTAAGAGGAGAGTTTAGAGGAATATGTATGAAATATAACGTTTCAGCCTAGAGATTATGGTTGTAGTGATCACAGAAACATTCTCTTGTAAGTCGATTTGTGAAATCAACTTACAAGAGAATGATTCTGAGCAGAGGGTCGTGAGAAGAAGATCCTCGAGTGGTACTTATATCTCACAAATGGAATACGAAGGGAATAGTGGTGGTTCACTACAACGTGCTTGACATGACAGGTCTTACTCATGAATGATAAAACTGGTCGAACTAAGTAATTTAGTTCGTCTGAACACCGTTGCTACGAAGATCTATTCGAGTTTGTGATTGGTCAGTGAGTTTCAGAGCTACCAGTATTTAATGGATAGATGTGTCGGTAAGTTTAAAAATAAATTGATAGAACAATTTTATTCAAAATTGTTCGGAAACGATGAAAAGTTTCCATAAACTACTTTGTGCGCGTCACTTATAAGGAATATCTGAAAATCGAAGCCAAATATAAAGCGATCAGTAAGTTTTCCTTCCAAAACGATTATTGTATGGGTAAACCATTCATACCTGGTGTTCTTATGCCGTATCCATCAAGTACAATTTTCCTTATCAAGTAAATTTTTCCTTATCGATATTACATTTATGTAATTTTTAGTTACAATATAGTTGGGGACATATCAACGAAAAAATAATTTAAAATCTCTCATTCTCACGAGTTAGAAAAAAAATTCTTAATCCCTTTATATAGTGCTAGAACTCGCAAATGGCAGCCAACTCGATGTATACTATTTTTTAGCAATAAATAGACAAGTGTTGCGTTTATTTTTAATTGATGCATTAAGCAAAATAAGCGACATCTCATAATAACTAAAATATAAATAATAAATAATACATCAATATACAGTAATAAAAATGGAGCGATCATATAAATTTCATTCGTATATCAAATCTCAGCAATTTCCGAACACAATTTTTATTTATTACATGACTAATGGGTAAATTTTCGCTTTAAATAGCAATTTCTATTTAACTTCGACGTCGCCAAATAGTAAATTATCCGAATAAAGCCTACCAAGTACTAAAAAGCAATGCAAATTTCCGATAATAACATACCAATTTGTGACAATTAAAATTAATTCTTGCAATCACAAAAGTATATTCCGATAATAAAATGCTACAATCTATTCATATGAAGCTATATTTTCACAACAAAAGCATAAATCTAGACTAAAGAAGACGATAATATTTTACGCTGCAGGCGGTCCCGATCATGGCTAAAAAATGTAACAATATAGCGAGGTGCCAAGTTAATGTGGTTTGATCGGTGTGCTTCATTAATACGTCGGTGTTTTCTCTATCGCGATTTTTGTTTCCGGCGCAGATGACCGGAAACGGCGCCAGATCTTCCGGTTACTAGTTCACTGACTTCCTAGAAAGGAGACTTCCACCAATGTTGCATTTATAATCTTTGAAGGAGTCCGGATGCATAGAGTTGAAATATCGCTCACCGCAACTAGTCGTGACTTATACGGAATATATACGAAACTAAAATTGAAGGATTCAGGAAATTTATTGAAGTATATAGATAAATACGAAGAATATTGTAATATCATAACATGACAATTCTTTTCAGCTATTTCTTACATAGATATTTCAACAGGCACATTGTTTTTCCAAATTTTAAATCTTGATAAGTTCCAACTCAACTTTACTGATATATATATGTATCTCAGTTCTAGGGGGAAATTCCGGTGTGGGTACACCAGATGAGTCTAGCGTTGAATTGGATGAGAAGTTACGAGCAAAGCATTCAGCCTTATCAGCTAAAGAGGCCAGGACCTCAAATTGGTTGGATAAAAGAGGTATTGAAGGATTGCTGTTGTTCAGCACGCTTTTGCAGAATCGCCAATAATCTTTTGAACCAAACTTGCGAAACGCAATGCGTTGATTAATTCTTTCGGCAAAGAGTAACATTACATTTTGACGATATGCTTCTACTCGTTACGAGCAGTGACAAAGAGACGTCGATTGTAATCAGACATGTCTCTATGGTATAGACAAAAGTAGTAATTCCTCTGGGCAATAACTGCTGCATAAGCGCTGAGAACCAAGGGGATGAATGCGATTTCACTTTATATTTTCTTGTAGGGAAGGCAATTTTTGCACATAATTTCTGCTCGCTGTCCCACCTCCCGAAATTTGACACAATAATCTGGCAGTCTACCACAATTTCGAATGCTACTAATTTTTTTCTCATTCTGCGATTTGGTTTGTTCATATTTAACGAGCATCATTTTATTCCCAAAGTTCCTTGCGCTCATCTGTATATAAAAATTGCTGGTTTGTGGAAATTGATAAATTTACTTTTCTTAAAAGTTTCCTTTGATCCGTAAATCAGTAACCCAGCTAGTCACTTGACTGAATTCTGATACACTATTGCAGGAAAATGTTTTTATATAAAACTAATATCGAATCTGATTTCCTGTAAACATGTATAAGATACAAACATGTTACTTTCTAAAAGATATTTGTATGAAGTAGGATAATGCTAAATAGGAAAATAAATCCGTAAATTTTGAAAATGAAAAAAGCTAATTTGTAAAAAGAATTAATATTTTAATGGATAATCCTAAATGAGAAAATAAACATCTAAATAAGTGTCTACGTTCTGGGAAAAAACACTCTTTAATAAATCCTTACTTCTAAAAGCTCAATTTATGTTGCGAAAAGCTGAAAAATGATAAAACATAAAAAATTTAAAAAGTCAGCATTTTGAAAATAAATGCCTAAATGCTGATATTAAAAAAAGTAGTTGCGCCAAGGAACGGCTATATTCTGAGAAGCAATAGTAAAACCTTAAATTATGTCAATCGATGACTAAATTCTGTTCATAAAATTGTTTAATATATAAAGAAAAGCCTAAATTATGACAATATAAATGTAGATTATGTCAATGGACATATTTAATGTCTGTCAATTTTATGCTAGATTCTATCAATAATTCCTGTAATAATTTTGATAAAAATGTTAAATTCTGCTAATAATGTCCAAATTCAGATAAGAAATTAAACCAATAACACAACACTGGTTTACAATTCTTCACAAGTTGAATACTTCAGAAATGGCAGATGCACATTCTTATATATTCTTGCATGCTGAATTCGTAAATGTCCTTTAAATTAGATGATTGGCTCTGTAGAGATATGTAGTCAGGTATGTCATACAGATGGGTACAATGGCTGTCTCCGATAAAAACCAATGTTACTTTGAAAAATCTGCTTCGTTTTCTTCTATGCAGACAACCGGAGAAATACACAACTAGATCAATACATCGATAGATGTGATTCTTATAAAAATAAACCTGGAAAGCTCTCTTTAGAAGTATATACATGCGCGATTATTAATCAACAATACGTCGCTTCTTACTTCGCGTTTGTAAACTGCAGAAGGATGATCTCTGTTCAGAGTTCAACAATAATCAACCAGCAATGATGGAATCCAACTTTCTTGATATCTTTTCTCCTTTACTGAAAAGATTTGATGAAAT